ACTGATTACGATTTCCAGTTTGGAAGTCAACATTAATAAACAGAAATATAAAACCGATAAGTTCCAAATAGTATATAACTTGTATTCTGGATTCTATCGACAGAATGGGCTTGAACATTAGTTTTGGGAAACAACATTCATATATATATATATATATATATATATATATATATATATATATATATATATATATATATATATATATATATATATATATATATATATATTCATAAATGTTAAATTCTATTTCAGATATGGAAAATTGATCTTATCGATGACAAGATATCGGAACAAAATCATTGTAAACGTATTGGTATTTTACGTCAGCATACTGGAGCTGTTTGGTCTGTGAATTGGCATTGGACTGGTACTTATTTAGCTAGTTCCGGTATGGATAATACAATACGTCTATGGAATGTTGAACACGCCATGATGTCATTTAAAATGAATAAAGATTTATTAAGCACACGTTCTGCAACATCATGTTGTACAATACTTAGAGGGCATAGTAAATCAGTGAATTCTATTCAATTTTTACCTTATGGAAATATTTTAGTTAGTGGTTCATCAGACAGAACAGTGTGTTTATGGGATGGTCGTTCGGTAAGTAACACTGTTTCGTTGGCTTTTACTAAAGAATTTGTTAATTAAATATAAGTGCCTATTGAGATGGTGGGAAAGATTTGTTGCTCAGGTGGATGATTTTGGTCTCTGAGCTGTATGGTTTAGTGATGAAGGTTTCATCGTTCTTCTGAACAACAATAAACAATTAAGATCGAGGGTCACACGATGCCTTTATTAGATGTCTGGATTACAGCTAACAATCGTATACGAGACAGGGATATGGTCTCGTTTTTTATTTATTACCTAAATGTTATTGCATATCAGTTGACTTTTATAGTAAGTACTAACAGAATCATGGGAGTGCACATAATTAATGAATTCCAAATAGGATGAAAATTTTGTCTTGGATTTCACTGCTTGCCCCTTCCCTTCCTGCCAAACAAGTTGGTGAAGCCTATTAGGCCCTTCTGGAGAGAAACAGGCCACATCAAAGCACGGCACAACTACCGAGGCTAGAATAGTTGTTTTTGCAATCCTTTGGAGTTTGCCCAATGACGAGCAACTCCATATGATACATGCACCACTTTCGGAAATTTTTTGTCGTTTTCCATTCCAAATTTAATTGTGCTATGTTTCTCTGTGGGTTTCGTAATTGATTGATGGGTATAGGTAAGAGTGGGTGATTAGCCCGATTTCCACCACCCGGGTTACCGCTCACGTTAGTTCATGAGTTATTCGTCTCATTATGCAGGAGGCACGATGCGGACGTGTGAGTCGGATTTTGCCTCCCCCACTGCTTGCTACAGTCCTTAAATATCATCACATAGGTTTTAAGACTATAATTGTCTGTTTAGATAAAAACTTTGAATTGCACGTTATCTCCCTGATATTAAAGTAAATTGAATTAACCAGTAGACAACTGTACTAATATAAAACCATAGGTTCAAAGATCAGGTTGGGGAAGAGAACAGTCAGTCAAAGTTATTGACAGCAATTAATTTAAGTTTACATCTACAAAACAAATTATTAGCCAATTATGTTTCCGTTTCTGTGAACTTTGCGCCATACTTCAGGAACTCGTTGAGTGCCTTCAACGAAATAGGCTGTGGTGAAATTCTTTGAATTAATTACTTTTCAGCGTTTGTTGTTACTGAAGAAGGAAAATCAAAGATTCAATATTAAAATATTCAGCTTAGATACAACAATATCACAAAAATAACAATATTTAAGAAATATGTACCAATCATAACTCTTCTAAATGAAAACCTTCTAATTCCCAGGGCAGACTTTAAATGGTTTGAATTTATTTTTTTAGCGAGTTAGTTTTCTACGGGATGGGGTCGCTGACCTCATCCCCAAGCCTCCTCCTTTATCCAAGCTTAGGACAAGCAGTCGCCCAAGAAGGGCTCCAGGAGGAGAAATGGAGACAGACATGAAAAGAATCAACAAAAATTAGATAGAACTAGAAAAGAATACCCAGAACAGAGTGGGTTGGAGAATGCTGATCGGTGACCTATGCTTCAATAGAAGTAACAGGCGTAAGCAAATAAGTAAGTAATATATTAATCAAGGTTTTCCAGATAACAACTTAGAAACTAGATACCCCTTCGTTTTTTTCAAATATGTAAATATCTGAAAAGAGGAGATATTCATTATGATTAGATAGATACTATTCAAAGAATAATCAATACTGATATGATCTCAGGGTGTTTTTTCTTTCTTCCATATAACTTAATAGGGTTTATGTGAGCATACATTTCTTGGTCATACACATTCAATCAATTGTGCTATATTTAATCAACAAGGTACCAATGTGATATCATGTGACAGTGGAGGTTTTATTCGATTATGGGATCTTCGTAAAATCAATAATTTCTCATTTGAAACAAATTTACCTACCTTAAAAATGAAAATGCACAATAATAATAATAATAATAATGTAGAGGTGAAATGTTTGCCTACTTGTTTTGATTTGAATAAAACTCGAAAATTTGATCGTTTCAATCATCCTCATCCTCATCAACAACATCCTAATCATCATCCAAATCCTACATCTATACAACATAAACAATTAGAACAACGAAATAAACTTGGAATTAATCAATTAGTTATTGATTTGAATAGTGAATATATTGTTGCTGGTTGTGATGATTCTAAAATTTATTGTATAGAAATATCAACTGGTCAAGTATGTTATCTTTCAGTTCATTTTAATGTAACTCTATAATAATAGGAGTAGGTTGGAAGAAAGTTAGGGGCGGCCAGACCAAAACAAGGCACAAGTCCATGAAGTCACTGACAAGTGGACTGAGTCATGTTGTTAGGTGTAGACTACCTGGTTGGGATCCGCGAGATGATAGCAACCGATGGTTAGAGACCCTGAATGACATGGTTCAAAATCGTTTGTAATGGCGCAGGTGCATACACTCTTTGTGTTCTCCCAAATTTCAATCTCCTGATTCCTTCTTGTCTCTTTTTTCCCTTTCCAAATTTATTTCACTGAATTATACTCTTTAACTAACATCTTCAAACTCTAATCTTCCCGATTACTGCTTATACTTGTACTAGTTCTACCACTATATGATTTGAATCAACAACTACATCTCTGTGTTAATGTGGTATGGCAACTCGAACTGATGTACATAGGTACGAAGTTCTACGTTGTTACTGACTGACTGAACTCTATAATATTCATCTATAGTTTGATAAAACAAATTTTCATGATGAGAGCTTGAAGCGTGGGGTGGAGTCGCAGTTGACTATGATCTTCTTGGTGGTGTTTTGTTCTCTGAGCTGGATGGTTTGGTCGTGGAGCTTTCATCGTTCTTCTGAACGACATCATCAGCGCAAACTTCAGATATCTGAAGTTTGCGCTGATGATGTCGTTCAGAAGAACGATGAAAGCTCCACGACCAAACCATCCAGCTCAGAGAAAAAACCTCCACCAAAATCATCCACCTGAGCTACAAATCTTCTCCACTATGATCTTCACTACAAGGAGGTTGCATACCGGATATCAGAAGGCGATTGGAAGTTGTAGCGATATATATTTGTTGGCGATCCCGTGGTATCGAGAGAATAGCGAGATCGTGCCAAAAGAGTACAAGTGGTATAACTGAGCAAATGTAAGTGCGTGCAAGGTCACAATCAACGGAAAAATGTCTTTAGTACAGTTAAACAAACAAGTACAGTAAAACAATCACTGGTACAATTGGTTATAATAATAGTTGTTCTCATTGAACCAATCGCGTTCTCTTGATAAAAGTAGGTCACTACCAGCTCCTGCCGGAATTTTAATTTACAATTGTAGAATTTTGAAAGAAGTTAATTGATTTCAACAGACTTCAAACTTGCACTGACTGTACTATTAAACTATACTGTTCACATAGATCATATTTCTTTCATTAGTCAAAGTCAGTTATACTATTGGGTAAATAAAATCTGCTTGATTTAAATAAGAATAAGTATTTTAAGTGTGTTTAGTTCAAACGATGATAAGACTCGAAATACTATCTTATTTGTCGGTCGAAGGTTATTTGAAAGACTCTTAATTCAATACTTTTCAAGATTGGATTATTGTTACACACTGTTAATGTATATAGACGGTTTTTATCAGCTGAAGCTAGTCGTTGTTGTTCAACTTGCGTCCAATGTGTTTCACTGGTCCAAAGCACCTCTACGTTGTATTTCTTCATTTCTGCAGCAATTTGAAAGACTCTCCCGGTCTCCCACATTATACGAGTATTCCATGTACCTAAATAAATTGTTGCTCTGGTTGTCAGAAGGGGCATCGGCCTTGTGACTTCCGAAGGACCTCGGCTTTCATCATGAGACGTCATAACTCTTCTAAATAAAGACCTTTTAACTCCCAGGGCAGAGTTCAATTGGTTTGAATAATTTTTTCTGGTTAGCGCTTTTTTGGCGAATTAGTTTTCTACGGGATGTGGTCGCTAAGCCTATGCCCAACCCTCCTCCTTTATCCGGGCTTGGGACCGGCAGTAGCCCGCGGAGGGACTCTAGGCGGAGTTAATTCTGAATGTATTATATGAAGGGAAAGTTCATGAAATTGCACAGAACCCTATTTCATTAGTTATCAAGATACTGATCATGAAATAATCAGTGAATCTTGAGCTCATCCATTGAACTCTATGTAACTTTATTTTGATTGTAATAATTGGATAGAAAATCCACACAACCAATTTAGCATGTATCAGAATGGATAGTCATTGAGTGGAGCATGTTTAACGTAATGATGCATACTTTAATCAGTTATGCAATATCACTCAACCTTATAGTAGAATGAGAATGATAGTTGAGATGGTGGAGAAGATTTTCAGCACATGTGGATGATTTTGATAGAGTTTTGTTCTCTGAACTGGATGGTTTAGTCGTGGAGCTTTCATTGTTCTTTAGAATGTCATCATCACAAACAAAAAATCAAACCAATGGAAGATACAACGAAAACAAAGAAGTAAACAATGACAGGCTTAAGTTCAACAAGAACCAATCAACATTAAGGTCTACAAGAAAAACTGTGAATCACATGTGGAAAAACTCGAACATTTCACTTCTACCTGAAATATGTACTGATGATATCATTCAGAAGAACGATGAAAGCTTCACCTCAGAGAACAAAATTTCATCAAAATAATAGTTGAGTAAAATGAATAAGCTCATTATATCCATTTGAGTCTAATCCTCTATATCTATATATATTATCCATTTTATTTTGGAAATTATCTAGATATCTACATTACAAGGACATGATGATTCGGTTCAATCGATTGTATTAGATTATGAATCAGGATATTTATATTCAGCATCCAGTGATCAAAAGGTATGTTCATGGATCTGAATGAAACATAGAACATTATTTTATTATTTTGATGGTTATGCATAAAAGATCATCCTTTTTAGAAACATTTTACAAAATGAACTCAATCATGTAAAAGCTTTTAAATAAATTAATTTTATTTCACAGGGGTTTGTATTTTCCCTCTGTTGTAATGAATAGCTGGAATTAATTAGAGAATTTCAACATTTAACTCCGTAACTCAATGGTTAAAGCGTAACTATTTGAAGTAAAAGTCTCCCAATTTCAGTCTCTGTGTAAATACGAACATTTAGATGTATGTGAATCCATGTTATGAGTTACAAATAGGTCAAAACACGAGTTTTTGATTCTACTACTAGCCCATATCCAACTTGACTTAGTCAGCTTTTCTAATCAATCATTGTAACTTAGAGTTGTAATGACACAAATTCACAATATATGTCGCCTGATGGTGGGTTGAACGTAGCATGATCCGTGTTTTTGTATTGAGTTTCACCTTACTGAAATGTACAATCGTATCAAACCTATCGAATGAATTATGAAGACCTCGACATCTGAGGGAAAACACGGCATACAATCGACAACTCAGAACCAATTAGACAATTTGGACTTCGCAGATGACCTAGCCCTCCTATCGCATACACACTGTAGATCACCAACGTAGACGATCTATGTCGAAAATGATTGCAGGCCTACTCGAGTTAGACGTGAATGGTGTGACAAACTAGCTAACATCGAAGTCACACCTCATGGTCAGCACCTTACGTGGACTACCCCATTAACATACCAAGGTACCATAGATGATTTGAAGACTGTACAACACAGGGGACGTCGTTACAGAAATATATTAGTTAAAGTAGATACAAACGAAAGTGAGACCACTGCCGCATGGGCCAGTCTATGGTACACAATTAACTGATGCGCGTGGGTTGTCACTGACCTTGACGAGGATCGATGGTTTGCTCGATATCCAATGACCCAACTGCCGGATGATTTGGCCATAGCTTAGTGACATTTCGCTGGCCCTACATTACTCCCCCACTAGATTCAACGGTCGTTTGAATCGGTACCAAACACGTTGGAAGTAGTTGCGCACCGGAGATTACCAAACGATTAATATGAATCCTCCGGGTATTTCCGAGCTGTAAAACAAAATGGAAAGTAGGCGGCAGAAACTGATCGGGAAAACAGCGAGTAACAATATGTAAGTACGACGTTAGTTAAACGTAAAGCGATTAACCATAGAAATAATGAAAAGAACCATACGTTTTATTGTTCTATCAAGTCGCGCTGAAATATATAGCTTTGACAAATAATTGAGTCCCTCCGATGAGAAACGCTAAGTTTGCCGTAAGAGTAATGATGCTATAGCGATAGTAGGGTAAGTGTATTATCAATCGATGCCGATGTCTATAGTGCCATTGATTTAAAGTTGAATGTCAGACAGTGTCGTTGACAGCTTCTAGTTATATCGATATTTAACAGACTAACCGTAAGGACAGAAGTATAACCGTGAAGAGTGGTCGTGATTTCGTTGTGCTAAGCTATTAATCAACTTGTAGTCCGAGTTTGAAAAGTCGATGACTGCTGTTACATCAGTAAGGGTTGAAGGCTACAAATCGACAGCAAAGGTGTCACGATGAAGTCTCTAAAAGATGATAAACGGTAAGTGCTGCGTGTTTGTTTGGTTAGTGAACAGAGAAATATCGAAAAGAACATAAGAAACCAAGAGTGTCACTCTGGACTCATGTAAATGTTACCCGTGAAAAACGCTGTCAGTGTTAGGATAGAGGCGACAATGTCGTTTTAAGTTTGCAGGAGATTCGCTCGACTGCATCAACTGATGATTCGCGCGAATGATAATATCGCCAGACCACCAATTGAACTGGACAGGTTTCAGATCGTTGAGTAGTTGAACAGCCGATTGATATACCGAAATCATCTGTTAGATAACAGCCACGAGGAAACAATACTTCATAAAATAAAGTACGACATCGAAGTAGAATAACTACAATAGTTCGGATGTGTTATAAAGTCAAATCTAAATAACATCGTTCTTACGTATACTAACAGTCGCACTGAACAGTCGTTTAGGTATTATTAGCGTAACAGTTGGATGTGTGAATAAAAACATATACGAAAACTATGGTTGGGTTCGTGGAGAAGTTTTGAGGACGTTTAGATATTTTCCAAACCCGTACTGTATACAAATGAACCGAAAATGGAATTAAAATGACTGTCGGTTAATAAGGAAATCGAGTCATGATTTACCGTGTGAAATAATAGGAAATACAAGGAGTATAATAAACATTAATTAAAATGGTAAGCACCAATGTAACGAAAGTAGACTGAATATGTTTAAGTCCAGAATTAATTTAAGCCAAACATAGCATTGCCTGACGAACAGACTGAACGTGATCTAAGATTGCAGGGAATTTATAGTTCAAACTCACCGTAAATTTCTAGCATTCGTATCCTCTGTTTGGCCATGGAACTCAGCAATTGGAAATTAGGCAGGCGGTGGTCAAAAAGAAAGTAAAACAGTCTAGTGGATAGTGGTTAAGCAGAAAGATGAATTTATAATCGATAGTTAATCTTGTCTTATTTATACCAGTGGATAAGTTACAAACAGATGTACGTTCGTGTTGCCTTGTGGCTATACTCACGAGTGGTTTATATTTTAACAGACACATTACACAGGAGCATTTACATGCTGCTTATGCTTGTTAAAGAACCACGATAGCCGATTGTAATCGTAGTTGTGTAGTGACTCACGTTTATCACGAGAACACGACTGGTTTAATAAAAACAATTATTATTATAACCAACTGTACCAGTGTTTGTTTTAACGTGCTTTAGTTTGACTGTGCTAATGACAGCTACTTTGTGCTTCCATTCTGATACACACACTTTGATTGTAACTTCGCGCGAATTCGGTTACGTTCTGTAACCAAGCTTGTATCCTGGCACGATCTCGGTATCCTTTCGATGCCACGAGATCGCCAGCTAATAAACCTCGACTTGGTCCATTAATTGCCTTCTGATATTTGGCTTCTCGGGGATTCTATGGATCTATTTGGTTAAGTCCAACCTACGCCTTCTGATTCATTTGGCACGTGTTTCTTGGTAGTGGTGTTCATAGTTAATCTCAACTCGACGCCACGCTACAATTGGTAATCCCAATGCGAATACAATTGGTGACCCGTATTTTGGAACACGCCTCAACTTCTGATCAAATCTTTCAAAGAAGCCAATTCGGTGAGTCTATGATTTATCTATCCACGTCTGTCGTATATTTTCATATTTTTAATATATAATATACGCGACATGACGGATAACGATAAGAATAGTATTAATATAATAGACTCACATGTACGTGTACCGAATCCTTGTCACTTTTTATTCGCGTGATGATGAATTCCACGCTTTATTCAAGAAATGTTACCCTATTAACGATTCTCCTCGCTGACCCGGGTGCTTGGTACGGAATGCATACGCATAAGCATATCCGTCTACCACCCAGCACCAAATGGTTAAGTTGAACGGTTTCACTGCCAACTTAAAAGTGTTCTACGAGCACACGAAAACGGCAACTGGCACGAAACCTTACCGCTCGTTCTTTTAGGGGTGAGAACGAGTTTAAAGGCAGATATCCAATGTTCCGCCACGGAACTTGTATACGGCACGACATTGCGTCTGCCCGGAGAATTCTTCACACCACGGAGCAGACCTAATTTCGCTAAATCAGACTACGTCCATCGACTGTCTGCATTTATGCGAACGCTGCCTCCGGTGTCAACTCGAATACAACATCGACAGGTCGCTCTCCCTCGAGAGTTATCTACCTGTTCACATGTTTTTGTACAAGTAGATTCGGTACGCAAACCTTGGCAACAACCTTACGAAGGCCCTTTTCACGTGATCGCTCGTCACGAAAAGACCTTCAAGGTTGATCGACACGGCCGCGTCGAGATCGTCAGCATTGATCGTCTCAAACCAGCACACGTCGATGACAGTGCCCTATCTGACAACCTGAGATTCAATGCTAGACCTAGCAAACCTACTAGCGGGATCCTCAAATCATCTACAGGTCCCACGCTAGATACATCTGAGACCTCATTCTCACGTCCCAGTCAACAGCACGCGTCATCTGCACCGTCTACGGACGAGACGACAGTCTCACGTCCAGATCAGCAGACCACGCCGCCCTTGACTTCGGATGAGATTGCAGGCTCACGCGACGCGAACGAGACTGCCGTCTCACGTTCCGGTCGCCGAGTACGGTTACCAGTACGCTTCTGCGACTAGCCGCACAGTCAACAACCGATACGGTGTAGGATTATTCCTATACTACACGTATGCTACACTCTTCTTTTTTGATTTTCTTTTTGTTTCCTGAGCCCACGCCTTCGACCATCTCCGTTTGGTTCCATCGACTTCAGTCAACTTTGGCGAAAGCTGAATTGGCCACCCACGCTCTTGTCAACCTACTCAGTCGATATATTGGTTTCGAATGCTTGGCATATGCTTGGTCTCGAACTTGGTCGTTATGGTCGCTTCTGGTCTTTTGGCTCAACGTGGTTTCGTCCTTCGTCTGCAGCGTTTATGGTCCGGACCCGTACGAACGCTTTCTTCAGATTCTGGATACAAACCACTCTGGTGTAGCATGCCAACTCAAGCAATACATACAGCACATCGCTCCTGGTACCGTTCTCCGGAAACGACCTTTGTTGGCAACTCGACGATCAACGATCGCCTTCCTGTTCGCCAATTCTTCCGTCCTACAATCGCTCGTCAGCCGATCAGTCCCACGATTCAAACCGCTATTTATCGAAAGTGTAAACCCTTTCTAGCGGGGGGCTCCTGTAGTGACTCACGTTTATCACGAGAACACGACTGGTTTAATAAAAACAATTATTATTATAACCAACTGTACCAGTGTTTGTTTTAACGTGCTTTAGTTTGACTGTGCTAATGACAGCTACTTTGTGCTTCCATTCTGATACACACACTTTGATTGTAACTTCGCGCGAATTCGGTTACGTTCTGTAACCAAGCTTGTATCCTGGCACGATCTCGGTATCCTTTCGATGCCACGAGATC